ACTACTTTACTATTTAAAATATTTATATACTTACTGTATAAATCTAAATTTTATCTTTACTATATAAAATACTAGCGACTCACCCTCGCATCGCTCGGGTTTGTCCCTAACTTCATTCCCAATACAAACTTTTATCCCCATTTTTACCCCCTTAAGGGATAAATTCCGGGATAAAAAGTATTTTATGTCCTTTCCAAGGTCTTAAACTATCTTCTTATCAAATTTCATCTAAATCGGTTCAGTAGATCCAGAGATTACCCCCTACAACGTCACACACTCACAATCTCACAAACTCACAAACTTTACCTCTTTATAATACTAGTATATATTGATTACGGGGAGTGCCCCTTAATTTTTATCATTTTTCCTAATAATTACACTATAAACATAAACAATTTTTATTCCACCTAGTAATCGAACCCCTGACAAGAGTAGTCTAAGTAAAGACTTCACCAGACAATGTGCTTGGTTCGATCATATATTGTTATACCGATATAAAATATTTGTTTCCGTATGTGGCAAGACAGTAATTAGCTTAAGTGACAGACGTCAGTGAAGCGGGATTCTCCCTAATTACGTATACTACGATCGAGCCTGTCGAAAATTTATTAGTAATCATTAAATTATGTTATACTATTTGTTTTTACTACAGAGTATCAAGTGAGAATTTCGATAGCGTTGACGTAAAATTGATACGTAGGTACTATCGAATAGTATATCTATATATCTATATCTATACATATAATAAAATTGTAACTAAGCCGAATCTGTACATTAAATATTTTTTGGAAAATCTTATTGAAATAAACATTATTATCGATACAGAGGACGAAACCATAGTTTTTAGAATTTTTGTCTGCTACCGTATCACAGAAAAACCACTGGTGGGATTTTGATGATATTTAGTATAGTGATAGCTGGTTATCTGGGTCAACATATAGGATACTTTTTACCGCGGGAAAATGTCTCATTTCTGAGAAAAAATATAAAAACTGGAATGTAAGAGTATACTAATATGTAAAACCTAAGAGTTTGGTTTTTGGTCATCTGAACGCAGGCGGAGCCGCGGGCAATGCTAGTTTATAATATATAATAAATTAATTAGCGTCAGGGTTATATCACTGGTAAAAAAAATGAATTTTATTTTTAGAAAATACGAGGGGAATTTTGAAGTTCATATCTTTAACCCTTTTGGGAGTTGAAAACAAAAGGCATTCAATGTATATAGCAAATAGAAATAAACTTAATTATTGATATTCAATGCATTTGGCTAAATTATATAAACACTTATGCAATATATTTCGTATTCTCAAAATTAAACCATAGAGATGTAGAGGCTTATATTCTTATCTTCAGAAAAGAGACAAAACTGGAACTAAACAGGAGAAGACAGACAGTAATCAGATAAAGTAATTATTCTAATATAATGTTAATTGATTTTGTAAAGTTTTTGAAGGGTATCGTTGTGATTTTTACTGGTATGTTGATGATGTCAATATATTATAACTTTACAAAAATCGAACCCGTGATATCGAGTGTAGTGCAAACCAATCCCACTCACGCAATATTAAGCTACGATGGTCGCAACGCAAAAAGTACAAAATAATATCAATAGGCAAATAGTAGAGGCGTTGTCTAAAAGGATTTCGCTGAAATGGTATGAGTGTCGGTACGAGTAAGTGGCTTTCTGCTTTACTGCCGCAATAATTTTATTATTCCGATTTTGATAGCGCTTTCATTTGCACGCGAATCAACGGTTGTGGATAACTGCCTCTGAGGCGGGTGCCAAATGTGTGTGAATATGTAATAACAATATATTGTATAGTATATATGTATGTATATTGTTTAATATGGTATCTACTTCGTAAATAATATCTAAGACCCCAGACTAAAGAATAATATAGGAGGAGATCGCCCAAAAATGTCAAAGTAAAAAAAAAAATAGTATCATGATTTTGCTGTTTATGTTTATATGACATTACTAGCAGAATCCACGGTTTCGCTCGCGCTAAAAATACAAAGAAATATCTAAAAAGGTAGTTTCGTACAAACTTTCATCCCATATTTTAACCTCTTATAGAATGAACTTCGAAAAATATTAAAACACGTATTTATTTAATTTTATGGAAGAGCATTACTGCCAAGTTTCAAGTAATTCTTATCATAAATATTTTTTTGGATTGTATTATAACGTGTTATCCCGTGGGAATTAGATAATCTCCCGCGGTAAAGTATCCTATGTCATTCTCCAGCCCTCCAACTATCTCCACACAAAAAATTATGTCAATCCGTCGCACCATTTTCACGTGAAAAAAGGACAAACAAACAAACACACTTTCACATTTATAATATTAGTAAGTATGGATTGTCGATTTACCATTCAGATTGTTTTAGCCATTTATTTACAATTTTCTAGAAGAATAAATGAATAATAAAAATAATATTATATTCTTTTGAATTTTTAAGCATCAGTTCCTCCCCTTATAAGAAAGATAGCGTAATATTACCTTAATTAATAATTATTTTTATTGTAATAAAATCAATTAGATATTTTTATTTATTAATATTTATTAACTTATTACAGTAATGAGTATTCTATTAATATTTTATACTGTTCTAAAACATTAGATATTTTTCTTAAATATCATTGTTTGGCTTTATGTCTAGTTTTATGACAATCTATTTATACTCGTATTATTTCTTAGTCTGAGTTTTACAAAATATGTATAATTGAGTGACTTAAGATTTTATATTTAAACTAGCGACTCACCCTCGCTCCGCTCGCGTCCCTACTTACGTTTTAACATTTAGTATAGATTTCTCAGAGATGAGCTATTTTTCCGCAATTATTTTTGGTTATTCGGTAATGGTTATCCGGGTCAACATATAGAATATTTTTTGTATCCTATATATCGACCCGGATAACCAGCTATCATCATACCAAATTTATTAAAAATCTGTCCCGTGGTTTTTCCGTGATGCGGTAACAGACAGACAAACAGACGTAAAAAAATTCTAAAAACTATAGATTCGGCCTCTGTATCGATAATAAAGAAAAATCTATTTCAATAAGATTTTCCAAAAAATATTTAATGTACAGATTCGGCTTAGTTACAATTTTATTATATGTATAGATAAAAGAAAACAATGTTTTTATTATCTCTTTTCACTTTCTTGGCAGAAATTACACATTTATCACATTCGTATACATAACTTTAGATATTTCACTAATAAAATAAGACGATATCAATAATTTATTTTAATTTTATGATCATATAAATAAAATAAAAATATTCAAGCTGATGTTGGGTTGTTATTCAAATATTTTATAGGCACATATTAAATTAATGTCAAATTATTACAAAATTTTTGCATAATTATAAAAAAATTTAAGAAAATTAAAAATAAAACAATGACATAAGCTGGTCGAATAAGGCTCTATTCACAGAAAAAATTTTTTTTAATTTTTAATTTTATTAGTGTAAATTATACTAGCAATAAAATATTAAAAAAATATACATTATGTGTTGCCTTCTAAGGAATATAGTATATTGTAATATATTTTTAAGCTTATTTCCTGAGATAAATTCAAAGTAATTCTAAATAACAATTAAAGTATAGATATAGCCTTAAAGTAAAGTAGCTGCTTTTATGTTTGATTCAATCGTAAAAAACGCGTAAAACCAACTAATGATGTTATAATGTTGTATTCGTGTTGAAACCAGCCATAAATTTTCATAGAATTTAAAATGCAACGTTTAATTACAACCTAAAAAGATGTTTAGATAAAATGGAACTACTTATCTTGGAAATGTTAGATATAGAGCTTTCTTGATAACAAAAGCGTAAGGGTGAACTTTCGTGTAGAAATACACGAATTTAAAATCTTAATTTCTTTATTGATTAGAAACGTTAGATATATAGATAGACAATTTATTGCACATGATATAAGAAATACATAAGAAAAAGAAAAAAAACATTAAAAAAAAGAAATGGACCGGACGTGGCCTTTTAGCTAAAAACCGATCTCTTCCAATTGTGAAGGCAACTTTAGGGCAGAAGAATCAGTATACGAAATGGTACATGGTATACTTGCATACATTACATACATAGGTACCAGTGGGAAAGGGTCCATACAAGACGTCTTACCTTAAAATTACCTTAAAATTATTTTGCTATAATTTGACATACATTTAATTTTTAAATATATATATATATATATATATATATATATATATAAATATATATATATTAGATTTAGTTCTTTCTTCATTAATACGTATATAAAAATTATATATTTTTGGACCGGTTTAACTCTGCTAAAATTTCACCCTTTGCCACTGCTAGATACCCACATACATACATACATTCAAAACGTTTCAAAATCATTTGAAATTACGATTCAGAAAGCTTTTGTAATTTTAGAAATATTGAGCATCGTAGATTTTGATTGAATTGTAATGCAAGCGGAACATGTTGATGTTAAGCAAACACGTAGATAATGGTGTATTGTTAAATGCGGAAGTACTTAATGATGTGATCGCCTCCAGGGTATTCCAATGTTAAGGAAATACGGTAATTTATTACATTTAAAAGATCAAATAAAAATATATTTTTATCCCGCGGACTTATTTCACCAGCTTCGGGCATTATTAAAATTTCCTTTTTGAGGTCGACTTACATTTATTGATATTGTAATAATTTAATATTGAATAAAATTTTATTTTGATAAATGTTCAGGACAGCTTTTGAAAATGCTGAACGGATTCAAGGCTTTATTTTACTAACCACGCAAAAGATAGATGTTCTGCAATCTTATAATTTCATAGTCACATAAGAAGGCCTCAATAATACTAAAAAGATATGAGACGCAGCTTAACATGTTCTGAAAGTGCTATGGAGATCTTCTTGATAGCAAAAACCAAATAGCTCGTTTAGTCTGACCCGGGACTCAAACCCTCGGAACTTTTCATATGTATCGGTGTCTTCAAACAAACCTAGTCTAGAAGTGGTTTTAGAATGAAATGATGATGATGATGTTCTCCTGACCGATTCCGACCACGGCGGCCAATCTCATTGAGACTAGCCAACTGCGCAGGAGATATTATAGTGCACAAGTGTACGCGCAGACACAACGTGCACTCTCTATTCCTACTACTCTCATACTCCGGTGGGAGAACTGCTCGATACGACCAGTGAGAGTTAAAGCGCAGGACGGCTTTACGTGCTCTCCGAGGCACGGTGGTATAAAACCGCCAACTTCCCAACTCCGGGCTGTTACTGAGACTTACTATACAGAAAGACTCAATAACTAAACTTGGCCCGACCCGGGACTCGAACCCAGGACCTCCGAGTGTGCAGCCGTACATGCTAGCCACTACACCACCGAGGCAGTTTAGAATGAAATACCCAAAGCATAAAAATTCTAAAACCACAGCCATAACTCAAAAGCGCAACAAATATTTGTATTCCAGTTTAAAAGTCATGTCAGAGCTGTTCAGTGCGCCCCATCAAAAATCCATTAGGAACCGTGCGTTGTTTCCGAACTATTGCTCACCGTATTGTAACTGAGAGTAGGAATTGCAAAGGTTTTTTCGTTCGCAACGATAGATTGTTTTTCGCTCGGCTAATTTTTCGTCTGCTCTATGTTGTTTGGGTTTAGCTTTTATTTCAAAGTTTGTTCCTAAATTGTAGAGTTTGTGTTAAATGTAAGCATGAGCTGTTGGTATAACCCCGTTAGTTATCTCGCCAGACATACTTTTCATCAGTAAATTACTTTAATGAAGAGCTTTTAGTCTCAATTTTGAATATTATTAATCTTTGAAATTAAGTTTATTATCATACCATACGAGTATTAACGTTTTAATGTGTTTAATGAATGAGTGTAATTTTATTTCTACTGCAATTTGCGGGAATTTTAATTTTTAGTAAAATTATTGGGTAGAATTAGATAAATTAAAAATTGACACATTCTATTTTATATTTCTCCCCAAATAAAAGGTAGATTATAGGTATACGTACCTAGCAGTACCCGCGGCTTTGCCCGCATTCAAACTTCAACAGCTAACAAAATTCACAGGATCACCCGCTGGGCTAATCTGAACATGATCTGAAAATTTCGCACAACGATTAACTCACCGATTTTTATTTGATTTAATCAACAATTAAAATTTATTTATTGCTCGAAAAATGGAGTCTTTTATGGAAATTTAGTGACATAGCGACTGCAGCGCCACCTACCAGATCCATTTGTGTTTTCAAACCTTGCAGGGACCCACTCGAACTTACACAAAAAATATCATTAAAATCGTCCCTGCCGTTTAGATGATCAGTGGCACACCGACTGCAGCGCCACCTACTGGGTTTATTTGCATTTGCATTTTAAAACCATCCAGGAGCCCATTAAAATATACACACAAAATTTCATCCAAATCGGTCCAGTCCTTTAGGAGGAGTAGGTTAACAAACACACGTACAGAAGAATTACATATTACTAGTGACTCACCTTCGCTCCGCTCGGGTTCGTCCCTGGGGTGGGGTCTGGGAGGACCATCCTTATCCTTATCATTTAGGGGTATGAAAAATAGATAGTAGCCAATTCTCAGACCTACTGAATACGCATATAAAATTTGGTAAAAATCGGTAAAGCCGTTTCGGAGGAGTATGGTAACAAACATTGTGACATGGAAATTTTATATATAATATATACTCGTATAATAAGATAATGACTATTTATTGAATAAAATATGGATAAATGATATTATGTTAATTATTGGTGGAACTGGTGGTGTAGCAAAAAGTAAAAAAACCCGACTCGTTCAAACAAAACATCTTAAATTGTTTGTATTATGGCAACGGTGAACAAAACGCGGGCTTCAGTTCAATATTATTGATCTTTGAGTTTACTTTGTTTTTTTTTAATTTATCAATAGGTTTTTTTGGTATCATTTATGAAATGGGGTAAGTGACTTGCACACTGAGGGTTCTGTAGCATCAAACAATCAATTTATGTCATCTTTAGTTTTTTCGTTAGGTAGCAAGGAAAATCCAATATTAATCAATCTCTTATATATAATTTCATTGATACTATAAATAAGTTTATATTTTACTAGCATTGCCCGCAGCTCCGCCTGCGTTCTAATGACCAAAAACCAAATTCTTAGCTTTTACATATTAGTATACTCTTACATGATTGCAGTTTTTGTGTTTTTTCTCAGAAATGAGATATTTTCTGGCAGTAAAAAGTATCCTATATGTTGACCCGGATAACCAGCTTTCACCATACCAAATTTCATCAAAATCCCTCCAGTGGTTTTTCTGTGATGCGGTAACAGACAGACAGACAAAAATTCTAAAAACTATAGATTCGGTCTCTGTATCGATAATAATGTTTTTTTCAATAAGATTTAATGTACAGATTGGGCTTAGTTACAATTTTATTATATGTATAGATAGTACTTTTTATGAAAACAAATTAACTTTCCGGTTGCCAAACAAATAAAGCTTGTAACACAAAAATATAGTTTAAAAAAACAATGTTTACTATTATGAAAGTCAGCAAAAATTGGCAGATTTGATTTATGAACCCTTTGACTTTTATTTTCTTATTTTTTATAAATAAACAAATCCTAAAAAAGCCAGAATAGCTTTATTAATTAATAATATCCAATTTTCTTAAGCAAAATGTGAGAATTTTGTGTGCATTAATTTTAGAGTAAACGAAAATATAAATATACTATGTATTTATTATTGTTACACACAACCTTGTTTATCTGAGGGAGAATCTGTTGAAGGAAGCTACAATTTTCAAACGTTTAACGGCACATAGGGGAATATAACAGGCTAAATCACGTTATCCCCTCAAAGCTGATACTGTGTTTGAGGCAATAATTTTCGATGTATCAATTGAAAAGAGTATTTCTTTTTATTTATTTCGTATATTCTTTCGAATACTTATTGTTTTGTTTTATTTCGTACTTAAAAATGAATTAAATATAGTTCTTAAGGTATTGTTTGCGTTAATATAATGCTAACATTTGTATGTGTGTTGTTACTCCTTAACGTTGAAGCGGCTGGACCGATTTGGATGAAATTGAACACAATAATATGACCTGGAGTAACACATATAGCTTTACTTTCAAAATTTGTCAATAGATGGCGCTTCTTATTTGAATTCAAATTCAAAATATTCTATTCAGCATTATATTATTACAATTTTTTGACTGAACGTCATAATTGTACTACCAGTTTGGAAAGAAGAAGCTTCAGACCTGAGAAGAATTGGTGAAAGAAATTAATATAATATCCATATTCCAAATTTATAATATTAGTATGGACTAATATTATAAATGTGTGAAAGTGTGTTTGTTTGTTTGTTTGTTTGTTTGTTTGTTTGTTTGTTTTTTTGTTTGTCTTTCTTTCACGTCGAAACGGAGTAACAGGTTGACGTGATTTTTGGTGTGGAGATAGTTGGAGAAAATGAGAGTGACATAGGCTACTTTTTACTGCGGGAAATAATCTCATTCCCACGGGAAAACACGTTATAGTACAATCCAAAAATTATTGATGATCAGAAATACTTGAAACTTGGTATTAATGCTCTTCAATACAATTAAATAAATACGTGTTTTAACATTTTTCAAAATTCATCGCATAAGGGGGTAAAATAGGGGATGAAAGTTTGTTTGAAATCTACCTTTTTAGAGGTTTTTTGTAGTTTTAGCGCGAGCGAAACCGCGGGTTCTGCTAGTAATATTATAAATACAAAAGACATCAAGAGACGCATCCGAATGAAGTGAGCGTAACTAGCTTGTTAAATAAAATAATATAAATTGGCTGACTGATGTTAAATTCATATAAATATTTACATCGACTTAGCAGAATCAACAGCGGTAGGATCTCAGATTTTCCCCAGTCATACTCTAATCACTCACTTGTTTGCTAAAGTGGTTTTAGAAAACCGGTGTCCCTGGTAACAGCGGTTATATGAAATTATTATATTACTTTAGTATGAAATAGATACAATATATGTACATAGATATAGAAAAATGGATAAGTACTTAAAAAAAATGAATCCTTATTTTACCTTGATTGGTCATAAACGCTAAAATATTCTTTATTTCCTGCCAAAAATATAGGAAATAATAATATTTTGTCCCTAATTTAAGAAATGATGTGTTCCCAATAAAAACTTTTAACTATCAAATTAAAAGTATCCTATGTCTTTCTCCAAGCCTCATCTCTCTCTATAATAAACTTCATCAAAATTGGTTCAGTGGTTTAGGCGAGAAAACGTAACAGAAAGACAGACAGACAAACAGATAGAGCGACTTTTGCATTTATAATATCAGTATGTATTACAACTAATAAAAAAGTTAATGGAATTTTCAAAAGCTTTTTGAGCCTTGCTCATGGTGTGAACTGAATAAGTAATTTGTGCTGCGGTATCTTCTGAGTGGAGAGAGAATAATATATCTCATATTATATTCATGTCAATAGGTAGAGAGAATTAATGGTTTTTTGCTGTCGAAACCTTTAAGAACCAAAACATAATGTAGAGTATTTTTATTGTCTGTAGAAAAATTGGATCAATCACATAAAAGTTGACTAAAATATTACATGACTTTCCATATCATACTGATTGTATGATATTCAGACCTTTTTAACGTCTCACTGCTGGGCGCGGGGCTCTATTCAGTACGAGGGGCATCAAGCAATAGTCCACCACGCTGGCCAAGTGAGGGTTGGCGGACTTCACATATCTTTAGAAAACTTACCAGGTTTTCTTAGACGTGCAGGTTCCCTCACGAGGTTTTCTTTCACTGTAAGACAATTGGTAATCATGTTAGAAAATGATTCGCACATGAAAATATCAGAGGTTTGAAGCCGCTTCATTTGCCTATCATACTGATTATTTATATTTAAATCACATATTAATTTTTACAATGTAAAAATTGAACTTGTAATCTATTTCAAGGAGATAGCAACAGCTGCAGATGCGATTGCACTTACAGAATTTTTACCACACCAATTTTTTTTCTATTAAGTATGACACAAATTGTAGAGATATTAAAAATGAAATGGCATTGAGTTTTAAATACGATATGAAACTTAAAAAGAATTTATTACGCTTTTTATAGGTAGTAATTTTTAATTGCCGACTATAGTATAAAATATATATTTATTTTACTATAATATATAAAACGTATTTGTAGAGATTTTTTTGCCAATTCACATATAAATATTATTTCAGCATCATCACATATTTGAATTTAACCGAATATCTTGTGAATTAAATATAAATATATTCGCAAGTGAAGCCGCATGCACAAACTAGTGTATTATAAATTATTTTATGATGGTGCGAAATTCAGGGTAAGTTATAGTTAATGTTCTCGAAACGTGTGCCAGAATCGTACATATTATGACGTTGTCACACTGT